GCCTTTCTGAGAGAATTGGAGGACGACATAAGGAGATAGAAAGACATTCCATGTACATGGATTGGAAGAATAAACATAGTTAAAATGTCCATTCTACCTAAAGCAATCTACAGATTCAACGCCATCCCAATCAGAATCCCAATGACATTCTTTACAGAATTAGAACAAAGAATCCTAAAATTCATATGGGGCAACAAAAGACCCCGAATTTCTATAGCAATCCTGAGAAAAAAGAACAAAATGGGAGGCATCACAATCCCTGACTTCAAAACATACTACAAAGCTACAGTAATCAAAACAGCATGGTACTGGTACAAAAACAGGTGCACAGATCAATGGAACAGAATTGAAAGCCCAGAAATAAAACCCCACATCTATGGACAGCTTATCTTCGACAAAGGAGCTGAGGGCATACAATGGAGAAAAGAAAGTCTTTTCAACAAATGGTGCTGGGAAAACTGGAAAGCCACATGTAAAAGAATGAAAATTGACCATTCTTTTTCACCATTCACCAAAATAAACTCAAAATGGATCAAAGACCTAAAGGTGAGACCTGAAACCATAAGGCTTCTAGAAGAAAACGTGGGCAGTACACTCTTTGACATCAGTATTAAACGGATCTTTTCGGACACCATGCCTTCTCAGAGAAGGGAAACAATAGGAAGAACATTCAAATGGGATTTCATCAGACTAAAGAGCTTCTTCAAGGCAAATGAAAACAGGATTGAAACAAAAAAACAATCCACTAACTGGGAAAAAATATTTGTAAGTCATATATCTGACAAAGGCTTAATATCCATAATATATAAAGAACTCTCACAACTCAACAACAAAAAATCAAACCACCCAATCAAAACATGGGCTGGAGACACGAACAGACATTTCTCCAAAGAAGATATACACATGGCCAATAGGCACATGAAAAGATGCTCATCATCGCTGATCATCAGGGAAATGCAAATCAAAACTACACTAAGATATCACCTTACACCCAGTAGAATGACAAAAATATCTAAAACTAATAGTAACAAATGTTGGAGAGGTTGTGGAGAAAAAGGAACCCTCATACACTGCTGGTGGGAATGCAAACTGGTGCAGCCACTATGGAAAACAGTGTGGAGATTCCTCAAAAAATTTAAAAATAGAACTACCATACGATCCAGCCATCCCACTACTGGGTATTTATCCAAAGAGCTTGAAGTCAGCAATCCCAAAAGTCCTATGTACCCCAATGTTCATTGCAGCATTATTTACAATAGCCAAGACATGGAAGCAACCTAAGTGCCCATCAACAGACGAATGGATAAAGAAGATGTGGTACATATACACAATGGAATACCACTCAGCTGCAAAACAGAACAAAATCATTCCATTTGCAATAACATGGATGGACCTTGAGGGAATTATGTTAAGTGAAAAAAGCCAGCTAGAGAAGGATAATCTGTGTATGACTCCACTCATAATGAGGAATTTAAAAATGTGGACTAAGGACAGTTTAGTGGCTACCAGGGGAAAGGTGGGGTGGGGGGGGGTGGGCACAAACGGTGAAGTGGTGCACCTACAACACGAATGACAAACATCAATGTACAAGTGAAATTTCACAAGATTGTAACCTATCATTAACTCAATAAAAAAAAAAAACCTCAAGGGAGGTAGCGCCTGATCTCCCAGGCGCGGTGGGAAAGTGGTAGTCTAACTTGGCAGTGCTTCACTGCAAGTTACAAAACTCTCTCTCTCCTAACAATTGGAGAAGTTTATTTTTCCTTTAGATAAAGCCAATTAGCAAACACAGAAGGCCACCTCAGTTGCCCATGAATCTAGGATGAACTATGTGTAATAAATGGTGTCATCAAGGCCTCTAACAAAAAAAATTGTAAGACGTTGAACTTCAGTTACTCCTTTACATCTGAATTCCGTGTTTACTGAATATAGACCTTAAACATCACTGTGTTGCTCTCTCAATTCTTATTTGTATATTTACCAGAGATAAAATTAAAACTGCTTAAAAATCAAAAATCCCTAAAACAATATGCTATATTATCATTCTTGAAGGCATACTTACTTTTCAGGGTCATCTAGCTTTTCAAAAAACAAATTATCCAAAGAAAATGAGGAGTCATTTGATTTCAGCATTGTTAAAAACTGGCTTTGTCATAAATCTAAAAAAACACAGAAAAAGTGGTTTATATTTTATTTACAAAGATGTAGAAAAATATTTCTGGATATATAAACTCTAATCATCAATTCCCAGAATAACCACAGACTACCTTTACACTGCATCTTCTGCAGCTTCCTCCAAAGTGCCTCAATATTCAAATACATCATTCTCTGTTCTCCATTCATTCACGCATAATCACACTTGTACCTCTCTGGATACTGCACCAATGCTCACAATGTGTTTTCTTCCATTCTCCACCCGGCAGATTCCTACCCATCCTTCATGGTATAGCTCAAATGTCATTTCTTCTTCAAAGGCTTCTCTGAATTTGCCCTCTTCAAGGCAGAATTAATCATTCCTTTGGGGCTCTTATAATATTTTCTTCATACCATTATTTTTGAGTTAGGATAGTGCATTTTATTGTGAATGTTTGTGTCTCTAACAATATACCATGTAATGCAGCGATATGCTTCAAAATAAAGGGGGAGAGGCAAAGGGGTATTGATGAAACAAGCTTGGCAATGGTTGATAACTGCTAAAGCTATGTGATAGGTACACGGACTTCATTATAATGTTCTACTTTTTATGTATGTTTGAACTTTTCCAAAATAATAAAATTTACAAGTTGAACATATATATGTATGTTTACGCTCATATTACATTATATATATATATCTCAATGTTTACTTTCCTTTTTAAAAGGTAATTTTTACATTCAGAGATGTTATTTAAATGTAAAAGATAAAAACATTCAGCATTGGCTACCTGGGAATAAAATAAAAATCTAGGGCAGAACCAAGCCTCCAATTTGCTATGAGACAGCAGAACCGTTTCTACAGACACATACATTGCTCCCCTCACATTGCAGTTCTTCCCCCTGCACATCAACACTACATCTCAATTCTTTTCTAAATTCTGAAACAGGATAGAAAATTCTCTATGACAAAACATGAAATCAGATGCACAAAGCATAAAACATAAATCACATTTCTATTTATTCTGTGATAGTTAATACATTGCAAATCTTTCCCTACGAGAGAAACTAAAATCAAAGAAACTATATGAGCGCCATCTCGTGGAGAAATCCATATCCCAAGTCAAATTATGTCCCTTCAACTTTGAGTCCTCCCAGATGTGGGGATGAGACACATGTGGGGCTACGTGGGGGAGGGAGGAACGTTTCCGCACGCACCCCTTGACAAAATGCTACTAATACCAGTGCTAAACTTGTGTAAACCTAGGACTGTTCTTACTCATCCAGAATGTTGTGGGGTTTTTCATTGTTTTAGTTACTGGGTTTTTCCCCCTTCCATGTGTTTCACTTAATTGCCCTCTTCATTTTTCTCAATTTATTAATTACTTAGTCACCAACAAAAAGAACTAGTAAAATTGAAGCAAATTAGCATGGTGCTATAAATGTCTAAAACAATTTGACTATACAAACAACAGAAGCCTAGGATAATAGGGTTGGAGGCAGAAGGGAGTCACTCAAATATGCTAATGCAGTCTTTAACATATTTGTTAAAGTAAATAATTTCAGAACTTGAAAACAATTACCTGATAGAGAATAAATAAAAACCATGTTTCTGTATTATCCAAAAAGTAACAAATAAAACATTCCCTTTCTAGGAGAATAGTTACAGAGAACTACATAATTTTAAACCAAAAAAATTTTCAAAATTAAACCCAGACCACTTTCATATGGCTTTGCTACCTCAGAATTTAAGTAGAAAATCTTACAACTAACATCTATGTGTTCGAATTCTTTATTCTAAAAGAAGTCGCAAACAAAACAATAAAACTATAAATTAAAAATATCTGTTTCAGGCCAGCCCCAGTGGCCTAGTGGTTAAGTTCAGCGCACTCCACTTCCGCAGCCTGGGTTTGATTCCCCGGCGTGGACCTACACCACTCTGTTAGTGGCCATCCTGTGCTGGTGGCTCACACACTAAAAAATAGAGCAAGATTGGCATGGATGTTAGCTCAGGGTGAATCTTCCTTGGCAAAAAAAAACCAAAAATCTGTTTCAGGAAAAAAATATTTCATAAAGTAATCAACAAAATCTCCCATATAAACAGCAAATATTTTCAAAAGAACTTTTGATTCGTTTTCTAGTTCTGGCATAAATGAGAATATGACTTGTTTGGGTTCAGAATAAAAACAATATGTATATATTTTAGTTCTGATGTACCCCTATGAAAGAAAACACTCCTTATCTAAAACCCTCCAGCTCCACATTGTGCATTACTTTTCTTCATAGCACTAACTCATAACTGGCATTACATTATATGTTGTATTATATATTATATTGTATTATATATCATATTATAGTTGCTTATCTTTCTATCTCTAGAGTGAGAAGGGACTTTTTGCTCACTAATATAGTCCAATAACCCAGAAGAGTGCCTGGCACATAGTAGATGATCCATAAGAATTCATTGTGGAATAGATGCACTAGCAATGATGGGTTATAAAAATAATTTTAAATAAAAATAATTTTCCATCAACTCTGAAATTTAAAATTTTACCCCCCAAATCTTTAACGTTCAGTTTAAAAATGTGTGAATTTTTTTCTAGTTCAGGATTCAAGTAATCAAATCATGAAGGTTCCAAAAGACGATAAATTTGGCACTTTCATTATGTAAATAAATATATTTTTTTTAAACAGGCCCTACAAGATATCGTGCCACATTTAACTTGCTACAATATGAGTTTGTGGTTGTACGAGATGCTAGTTTTTTTGTTGTTTTTGTTTCTGTTGGTGAGGAAGATTGGCCCTGAGCTAACATCTTTGCCAAACTTCCTCTATTTTGTATGGGGGATGCCTCCACAGCGTGGCTTGATGGGTGGTGTGCAGGTCCTCACTGAGAACCTTCCAACTCCTGTGGGGAGGCAGAACCCCAAACTTTACCACTGCACCACAGGGCCAGCCCCTAGATTTTTGAATTAATTAAATTTAAGTTTTAGGTTTAGAGTCAGATTTTCTGAGTAAGTTTCCACGTTAGATTTTTTTTTTTTTTACAAAATTTTAGTTTCAGCATGTGGTATAAAATTATATTGAAAAAATTATTTTATTTTTTAAGTGTTTGCTTCTGCCCTAATCACTCTTAAAATCCTTAAATTGCTTCCGTGACTCCATAATTTCTCTGTCGAACAACTGAGCATTTTCTTACCTTCTATAACCCTTATTGTATGAAATGTTCAGATCTATTCCTTACTCCTTACCATTTTTACTCTTACAAATACACTCATTTCAAAAGTGCAGAAACCCAGATATAAAACACTGACTTGCCAGAAATCGGTAGTCAGTGAAGAAGCCAAGACCAACATCCTCTGGAAAGACCAACCATCACAAACGGACCGCAGGGAATTCGACAAAGATAAGAGGATAAGCACGGGAGCAAACTACCCACGGCCGGGCCCGTCTCCACCGCCCGCCCCGGGGCCTCGGGCCGGCCGGCTCCAGCGGGAGCGAAGGGCGCCTGAAGCACAGACCCCAGGGCGTTTCCCGAGGAACACGCTAAGCCCGCCGCCCGCCCCACACTCGCAGGCGCGAGACCGAAGCCCCGGGCCCGGCGGCGGCCCCGCGGCGAGACACAGCCGGGAGGAAACACGGCGGCCCCGGAGCCGCCCAGACAAGGCGCCCTCCGCCGGCTGTGCAGCGGCCGTCCGCAGCCGGCCCCTCAGCCGAGCCCGGCCGCCCCGCCGCGGGGCCGCCTCAGGCGTCGCGGCGCTTCTGACGGGACGGCGGCTGAGGAGCCGCGCGGGCCCGGGGTCGGCTGCCCGACTGCTCGCCGCTGCCCCCGCGAGCTCCGAGGGGCCCCCTGCCCCGGGGGCAACCCCGTCCCCACCTCCGCGCGGGCACCCGTTCTCCCGGCTCCACCTCCCCGCGAGGCGTCCGCGCCCCGGGCCCCACCTTCCCCCCGGGCGTCTGGACGCGCAGGTCTCCCCTCGCGGCGGGCGGGGGGCGGCTCCGCGCCGAGCGCCTATCCACCCGGCCCTCGGCGGCCCCCAGCCCGGCTCAGCCGAGTTCCAAGCAATGGATCGCCGGGCCCCCCATCTCTCCCCTCCCCCCTCTCCTTTTCGTCTCCAAAAGTTTATAATCAGTTTTTAATATATTTCTCGCAGGATACGGTGGCCTATTCTCATTAAATAAAGCTCTTAATCTTCCCCCCAGTTCCCAGTAACCTCTATTCTACTTTCCGGCTCTACAAATGTGCCTATCCAGGTACCTCACATAAGCGGAATCATACAATATTTGGCATTCTGTGGAGGACTTATTAGGCATAACGTTTCATCCATGTAGTAGCATGTATCAGAATTCCATTCTTTTTTAAGGCCAAATATCCCATTGTGTGTATATATCATACTTTATCAGTATCCGTGGATAGACACTTGTGTTGTTTCCAACCTTTTGGCTATTGTGAATAATGCTGCTGCAAACACTGGTGTACAAATATCTGCTCCAGTGCCTGCTTTTACTTCTTTAGATGTGTACCTAAGAGTGGAATTGCTGGGTCATATGGTAACTCTAAGTTTAATCTTTTGAAAAACCACCAAACTTTTCCACAGCTACTGTACCACTTTGCATTCCCACTAATAATGCAGGAGGGTTCCGATTTCTCCACGTCCTTGCCAACGCTTATTTTCCATTTTTTCCAAGTTATAGACATCCTAGAAGACGTGAAGTGGTATCTCCTTGTGGTTTTGATTTGCGTTTCTCTAATGACTAATGATATTGGTGTATTTTCTTGTACTTAATGGCTATTTGAATATCTTATTTGGAGAAAAGTCTACTCAAGTCCTTTGTCAATTTTTTGTATTATTTATCTTTTTGTTATTTAGTTGTGGGAGGTTTTAAAAAATATTCTGGATGTTAATCCCTTGTCAAATATACGAGTTGCAAATATTTTCTCCCATTCAGTAGGTTGTCTTTTTGCTTTCTTGATAGTATCCTTTGATGCACAAAAGTTCTTAATTTTGATGAAATCCAAATTTCTATTTTTTCTTTTGTCACCTGTGCTTCTGGTGTCACGTCCTTGAAGTCGTTGCCAGATCCAACATCATGAAGATTTTCTCCAATGTTTTCTTTTGAGAGTTTTACAGTTTTAGCTCTTAAGTTTAGGTCTTTGATTCATTTGGGGCTTGTCATGGACCAATAAGGTGTATTTATTTCAACTGAGGGGAGGAGGGTTGGAAATATGGTTTCCAGAAAGACTGGGAGAGTTTGAAAGACAAATAATAGGTGTTCGTGACATAGGAACAAAAAAGATTTCTGCTAATACAACTGATGCCATGGGTTCTGGCTCATAAATTCAATATAACCAAAATTTTCTCTACTTTGTAACCTCGACTCTTTTTAAATTCTGATCGGGAGAAGTAGATATTGAAAAGTTAGTGCTGATGGCTCCAGAGAAGCAATAACCAAGAGATGTTGAAGTTTCAGGACCATTTTCCTCTGGGTGACAGCCAGAAATGTGCTATGCTATTGTTAGAGTTGGAAAAGAAAAAGTAAAATCATTTGGAAGAATCTGAAAATTGTAGAATTAATGTCTGAGAATAGAAAGGAAAGAAATCTAGTCTGGTATAATGGGATTCTCGAGAGGAAAGAAAAATTTAGAGAGTTATGCAGAATTTTGTGTGGAAGAGTCCAATGCTATCTAAGCATTTAGTAGATGCTTAAATAGCAAAAGGATGAATGAATGAAAATCAAAGGATAATTGTTCTTTAGGAAAAGATTTAGTAAGTCTCTATGTAACCAAGAAAATGAAAGATATAAATTGATTGAAAAGTAATTCCTTGAGTTCCAGCCGCTAAGGACTTTGTTTAATGGTGATGCAGAAGAGACTACTACCTGTATTTTAGGTTTGTTTGTTTTTCTGGCAGAAATTGTTTGTTTTTCAGGCAGAAATTGACTCGTTTATCCAAAATGAATTTAAAATATCTTGTTCTCCAAAGCCAAGAATGTTGATTCTAATTGCACTGTCAGACACGGGGCTCCAATTAGACCCAAAACCAAAGCATCCCACAGCCACAGCCATACAGAGTGTATTAATACAAGGAATATAAACCTTCCATAGAAATCATGTGATAGAGATTCAGTAGTCAATGGCTGTTCTTTGTGCAGTTACATAATTACACATTGTATAAAATGTGGAAACACAAATCCTGAAGTAAGAAGCAAACATCCCAGAACAGAAACTTTGGAACAAAGAGCAGTATTTCACACTGGAACAGAATTATTTTCTAATTAAAAATCAATACCAGTTCTTTCAGATGGAGACTGGTAACCTGTGTATATTCTCCATGGGTAGTTGTATTTAGATTTGTATAACAAATTGTACCCACTTCTCCTTACAGAGTATACTAGGTTTAGTCATTCTCAGCAAATTCTTCGGCCGTTCTTATAAAGTCCCTGGGTAAATAGGAACTAACACATTCCTTCAGGTGGTTAGTATCTGAATGCAGTAGACTTTACCTGACTACTATAATCAAGATTCCGGCATCCAGAATCTTATATAATCTTGTATAAGACTGTCTTAAGGAAACATGGGATATATTATATCTGCAAAAAAAAAAGGCTATTTGAAGAAACTTTTTCTTTTGAGGAAGATTAGCCTTGAGCTAACATCCACTGCCGATCCTCCTCTTTTTGCTGAGGAAGACTGGCCCTGAGCCAACATCTGTGCCCATCTTCCCCTGCTTTATATGTGGGATGCCTACCACAGCATGGCTTGAGCAGTGGAGCCTAGGTCCACGCCTGGATCTGGACCAGCAAACCCCAGGTCACCGAAGCAGAGCACGCAAACTTAACTGCTGTGCCACCTGGCCAGCCCCTGAAGGAACTTTTAAAAGCCACTGACAGACATTTTTAAAGATATTTAAACATCAGGAATCAGAGTATAAAACAGATTTTAAGAATAGGCATTCTTTAGTTTTTTATCTACGTACAAAAAAATCATTGGCAAGATCTTGCAGTAATATGATTAAAGATTAATTAACATTGTTTATATGTTGTTTAGAAATAAGGTAGTTTCTAGAAGTGATACAATTTTGTGGTAAATAATAAGATTTGCACTGTTACAAGTAACCAGTTAAGATCCGGAACAGATTGGGGTATGGACAGAATAATAGAAATACGAAACACCATGAAGAAACAGGAATAATGCATCTGCCTAGAATCCTTTCCAAGAAGGCGGAGGGAGTCGTGAGAGATGCTATTGCAACTGGCAGATAATCATTCATTTGTGATACACGTTGAGTTAGCATGCATTTAAGCATGGGTTATCTCATGTTTAAACATGTCAAAGCATTGAAAAAGCACAGTACATATAACAGCATATATTTTAACATTTTTGATGATCCCTGGAGGAAAGTTGGGAGTGCTGTATCCATGTCCGTCCAGAGTCTGAAGCCATCACAAAGAGAAATAGATGCGTCAGTTTTCTCAAAACAGTTGCCAGCATTAATAATCACCAGAGAAGGAAAGGGGCTAAAGCTGAAGATGTTCTCTAGAAATTCTGGCTGTTCAGGGCTCCCGCCAGGCCTGCGAACACGAGCTAGCTTTCTGGAGGACGCGTGGGCACGTTGAAGTGCACAAGGAATAGAAGTAGCTCCGTGCTGAGGTTGAGTCCCCTCACCCGCAGTGGTATGCACCCTAAGGAAGACTCACTGGCGTCCAGGGGGCAGCAGACCCAGCAGGAAGCAGCGAGGGAAGCTGCAGGGCCCAGGCTGTGGGGGAGAGGCAGCTAAGCAAGGCTCACAGACGTTCCCAGGGCCGGCCCCGCTAACCCTTCCAGAGTGAAAGGGCCTGCCTTGGGAGAGGTCTGCTGGCCTCAGAACGACACGCTGCCCAGGCAGAGGCAGTGATATGGGCCACAGTGGCAGCCCTAAAGCAGGAGCTGTGGAATCAGCCGGGAAAGTGAGCCTAGCTGATGAACAGTTGATGCTGTTCATGGTGGTTAATAGGACTGATTGCTGAAGCCAGGACAGTTTATAGACCCCCTTTCTCCAGCTCTCAGCTGGGAAACAGGTTGGGTGGGGGGGTGTCAGAAAAACTGGGATTCCAACAACTAGAGGGCACTGTTTCAGTAATGATTTGTTGTGTTGTCTTTGGTAGGGAAAGAGTTACCTGCATCGTTACCTTGCTTTGTCTGACTCAGATTAGTGGACTATGAGACACCAGTGTCAGAACAAAATGTATATAGCACTCTACAGTTTACAAACATTTGTTCATTTAACGGGTGGGGAAAATGTCTGAGAATTCATACAAATGGTGTGTGTGTGTGTGCCTGGGGGAGGGGGTGAGAGAGTAGATGCATTGTACGTGTGTATTATGGGGAGAGATGGAACCGAGTGTGTGGAGAATAAATTATATATGTAAGCAGAAGGAATATTGTCCTTCCACTAGTAGGTAGAGTCATGAGGGTTAAAGCAAGTCCAGGTGAAAGCATTCTGGCTAGGAACACACTCCAAAAGGTGAAGACTGTGGACTTAAGAAAGTGGATGAATATTAGGAGGGAAATAAAAACCCTGTAAGTCAGGAAACAACAAGTAAGATAAGAGAGTGATTAATATGAAAGTGAAACAAGTTCATGTGCGTTGTCAGAACTATTTCAGATAACTGTGCAGTAGACGAGCCGTCAAATTGTAAGGTCTCCCTGAACATTAGGAACTTTATTCACCTATTTTATGTGTTCCTTAATTAACAGAACACTTAAGACATGCCATCCCCAGGGGAGAAAATTACAGTGTTATCTCTAAAAAGTTCTGCTAAACCCCACAGCCTGTGTTCAGGCTTTGAATCGTCCACATGTGTAGGAAGGGACACAAAACCAGTAAGAAACTTCTTTTTCCAGTAGAATGCTTTGTATCACAAGTCATTTGGGGAAGTTTTGACTAAATAAATTGTTTTGTAGGCTATGATCTATAATACTGGAGAATTAGAAATTTTTTTTCCTGGATAAAAGTTCCATTTACACAATTTAGCTGAAATATTCCCCATATCAGGAGATATCCTAGAAATTAGTATTTAATTTCTAATACAGTAATTTTGCCTGAATTTCCCTATGCCAAGTCCCTAGCTCTGTCTACAAACCATACTATTTCTCTTGA